TGTACGCTATTTCGAAGTCGTACTGCTGCAACTCCAGGGCCCATCAGGCGATCCTCCCTGAAGGGCTTTCTATGCTGTTGAGCCACTTCAGCGCCATGTAGTCGGTTACTACTTTAAAGTGGTAACCTTCCAGGTACGGCTTGAGCTTTCGGATCGCCCAGACGATTGCCAAGCACTCCTTCTCGCGCCGTTGATCGTTCGGCTTGAGTAAGAGATTACCTTTTCGCCTCGTTCAGGTTCCTGGGTCAAGATTGCCCTGTTGCCGTAGTCGCTCGCGTCAGTTTGCAAGATGAATGGTTTGTCGAAATCCGGGCATGCCAGTACGGGGTCTGCGACGAGTCTTGCCTTCACCTCTTCGAACGCCGTCTGATGTTCCTTTGTCCATACCCACTTATTGCCCTTGCGTAGCAGATCGTTGAGAGGTTTGACTATTTTTGCGAAGTCAGGTACAAACCGGCGGTACCATGATGCTACGCCTAGGTACTGTCGGAGCTCTCTTACTGTGGATGGTGGTTCTAGTTTGGCGATGGCTGCTACCTTTTCCGGATCCGTGCCTATTCCCTCGCTAGTCACTCGATGACCAAGATATAACAGCTCTTTCCTGAAAAATTGGCACTTCTCCGGGTTTAACCTCAGATTTGCCTCCTTAAGCCGTCGGAACACTTCCTTTAGGTTGGCCTTGTGTTCATCCAGCGAGCGCCCGTTCACTATGATGTCATCCTGGTAAGCAAATGCGTGTGGCGACATTTCGGGACCGATCACCCGGTCCAGCACCCGTTGAAAAGTCGCAGACGCCGAATGAAGTCCGAATGGCATTACTCTCCATTGGAATAAGCCTTTCCCAGGGATTTGCCAGTACCCATCTTTTAGGTCCAAGCTGCTGATGTACCGTGCTTCCCTCAGTTGGTCGAGAATATAATTTATTCGGGGCATCGGGTAGGCATCCTTTATAAACTTGGCGTTGATTTGCCTAAAGTCGACGCATAGTCTCCATTTGCCCGTCTTTTTTTTAACCATCACGATGGGGGAGCTGTATGGGCTTGTTGAGTGTTCTATGTATCCCATTTGGAGAAGCTCGTCCACCTTTGCATTGATCTCCCCTTGAACTTTCGAATTCTTGGGGTAGTATCGCTGCTTTATTGATTTGTCGTCTTTCATCGTGATCTGATGCTCTGCCATGTTTGACGCTCCCTTCATGCTGCTGAAACTCGCTAGCTCTGCCTCCAGGAATTTCGTCGTGTCGTCATCTTCGCTTGCCCGTTGTACGACTGCCACCGATAGCTTCTCCTCGAGTCATCCCTTGTGACGATTCCTGGCCGGTATTATCACTTCGTGTCCAGCGCACTTAATCTCGGTACCGACTTGTGTTAGAAAGTTACATCCCAACACCAATGAATCCACTACCCCTGGTAGTATCAGCAGGCTCATGCTCAGTCGCTTGTTCCCGAACGCGATTTCCACCTCCAGCTGCTCTTCGATTCCGCCACATGTTCCGTCTGCTAACCTAACTTGCCGTCGTATCCTCGTAATCTTTCCGAGGGCAGCCAGGTCGTTCGCCAGCTCTTTGCTTATAAAGCTTGCTGTTGCTTCGGTGTCGATTGTGGCCTTGTATGTGCCCCCACCAATCGTCACCGCTGCGGACAACTGCTGCTCCTCCTCGATCAGCTTTCCTGTTAGTTTGGAGAGGTAGCATCTTGCGACCCCCGCTCGCCTCTCTGCGGCTGAGATCGCTGGGCATTTCCCGCCTGCTGGCAGCATTCGACGCTCCTGACGCCTACTCTCCCGCACACCCAGCAGAACAACAGGCGTTGGTGCCGAAAACAAACATTGTATGCTGGCTGCATCTGTTGCTGTTGTGGTGGTGTCCATTGGCCTCCGCGTGGTGCTCCTGTTGCCTGCTGCCGTGGTACTCGGTTAGGTGGCGACCATTGGTCGTTTCCCCGTGTCTCCTGGATTCCTGTCTCTTCGCATCTTCTGCATGTTACCTGCGCTGGTGATGCCGACTTGGTCTTCGAGAATTGGTTTTCCTGCGCGAACGCTTTTTGACCTTTTCGAGTTCTTCATACTCGTCTGCTAATATCATCAGCGTGTCCAGGTCCGACACTTTGTATGCCCTTAGGAAGATCCTTAGACTGGGGGTGCAGTTTTCCTTGATGATCCTTCGGGTCTTTTTAGTGGAATAATTAATTGGCCTCACCATCGTCTGCATCTCGATCATGTAGTCTTTGAACGACTCGCTGAAGCCCTGCTTCCGTTGCCTGACCTGATCCGCCAGCCTGGTGAAGAAGTCTCTCGGTAGAAAGTATGTGTGGAAACTATCTATGAACTCCGCCCATGTTTTCCATTGTTTGTTGTTGGCGATAAACCACTTCAGAGCCCTTCCCTTCAGCAATTCAGGCATCGCTCGGGGAATCATATCTAACTCCAAGCCGTATGTGTTGGCGGACCATTCCACCTGTTCCAGGAACTCGAACGGTTTTTCCGCCCCGTCGAACCTGAACGACCATTCGCGGACCTGTTTAGCGATCCTTGCATAGTCTGACTGACTGTGTCTCGAGATTAGCGCTGTTATTTTCCTGTCTTGGCTTGATTCTCTCATGTTTGCCTCCTTTTGTAGATTGTCAACGCTCAGGCTTGCCACTAAGTTGTCCCCTTCGGCGTTTGTTAACGTGATGCTGTGGCCGGCTTTGTCGTGGTATGTGGCTTCCAAATCGGCCCAGATGTCAACAAGTTGTGGGTCATTATCCGTTTCTGAGTAATACTCGGATAATGCTTTTCTCATGTCCTCTAATCTGCCGTCCAGGGTGACATTAAGCCTCTGTGCGACATTGGCGAAGTCCTACTTTTTAAGCCGGTAGATCCACTTCTTTCCCATTCTGTTTAAATTGGTTTCACTGCTGGGACAATCACGTTGGGCGCCAGATGTAACGAACTGATTTTTGTGGTCTGCTCGATACGAGATTCGTGCGGCTAGCTCAGTATATTGTGTGTTCGTCCCACCAAATTTATATTAACGTGACCGCCCAGTAGCTCAGTGAGAAAGCACAGAATTCACGGGTTCGTATTGGGTTTATTGCGAGTATATTATTACAAGTGTCTTAGTAGCTTGGTTGGCCTTGACTCATTGCTTGTGACCTTCGGTACTTCCGACGGTCCTGGTTGACTCGACGACCTCTCGCCTTGATGACTCGGTGCTCCAGTCCTGTAGCTCCCTGAAGATACTCGCAGCTCCCTGAAGATCCTCGCAGCTCCCTGAAGATCCTCGCAGCTCCCTGAAGATGCTCGCTCGCTGTTCGCTTCTCACGCGTGGCTTGGTCACTGCTGGTAACGACTCGGACTCGCGAGGAGGGTCAGCCGTACGGGCTTAGGGAAGCGTCACCGTTCTCAGACTAGGGTGAACAGAAGCTGCGCTCTCCAGGATAGCTCCTTTCGACACACCGCCGCCTGTCCCTTGCTCTGTCCCGGATGGTCCCACTGGGGTTTCTGCTCAGCCGGCGCAGGCAGTCAAGGCGGAACGCCAGGAAGCTGCCTCGCGCTTTACTTCGCTTCCACGCCTAGTGTAAACGAACGGTCCACCCTAGCCTCACCCTTTTGCTTTTGGTCCGGGACGTTTCCGCGTGGCTTTTGGTACTCGGGGTTCGGGCACGCCGCTCCGGGACCTCGCAAGTCGAATGCGTAGGGCTCTCCTGGACAATTCCACTCGAGACCGTACCGATCGACCGCTCTCCCTTCTGGCTTGTTATATTTGGGGTTCGGGCACGCCGCTCCGGGACCTCGCAAGTCGAATCTGTAGGGCTCTCCTGGACAATTCCACTCTAGACCGTATCGATCGACCGCTCTCCCTTCTGGCTTGTTATACTCCCTCCAGGCGTAACGCCAGGACTTTGTGGATAAGGTTAATCGACCGCCTTGACCTAGCCGTGTGATGCCCTCTGGACCTCAGCTACCTGCGTCTCAATTCGGAGATTCCTGGTACCCCAATCCCGAACGTCTCGACGTAGCAATCTTGCTCCTTGTAGGCTCCCACGGCGCTGCTTCTCTGGCGACTCGACTTGTTGTTGCTCCCTTGTAGATTATCTGGTCGTTTGATTGTTTACTTTGGTATCTAAGTTATCCTGACTGTTTGACTCCTTGTGATCGACTCATCCAGCTGCCAGCGCTCTGCGGCCTTATATAGGGCCTCCAGGAACCGTTATTTCCCTATTGCGCATGGCCCGCTGAATCTCTCCACTCCGGGTCCAAAGTCCGTGCCTCCTGGTTGACCCACTTGTCCTTCACGTACCGCATCCAATCGATGCTCCGCCTATTGCTGCCGTCCCGCTGTTTCCCGTGAGGCTTGTGGCACGCCTGTGTGCCGCTCCACTGCCGAGATGTGGCACTTCTTCTCCCGGTCTAAAGTTCACGGGAGAGTCCAAAGTCCGGTGGAGTTCCGTTATCCGCTTTTGCACACGGCACTCTTGCCTTGCCCGCGAAGTCCCCATTCTCTCTCGATCTCCATCCTTAGTCTCCAAGCTCTCTCGTTCTCCATCCTTAATCTCCAAACTCTCTCGCTCTTCACCCTTGGTGTCAAAACTCTCTCGTTCTCCATCCAAGTCTCCAAACTCTCCTAGCCGCGCCGTTACTACGCGAATTCGCCGCGTATCTCGTAGGCGGCCGGCCATCTGCTGCTGCTTCTATTTGTGGGGAGTTATTCAACTCCTCACAAAGTGAATTTGTCCAATCACTTGAATTTTTTTGGGGCCATAAGTTTTTTATTTCATTTTAAAATGGCATTTTAATACAAATTTGCAATATTAAATACATTTAACTAGAATGATTCATTATTATTCAAAATGTAATTTAGATTGAATTATAGCAATTTAATCATCGATTTTAACCACCAGCGGATTAATTAATAAGATTAACAATTTCACAATTACATAAGCTTTTATATTAAATGTTTTTCATTAAGTGAATACCGTTTTTATTACAAAAGTTTTAAGTATTCTTCAAGAATGTGTTCAATCATCGCCACCAGTCATTACTGGCATGAATTCTAAAATATACAACATTTAGTTAAATAATTATGACCACATAAATGCATATTAATTTGTTTACCATCGAAATCAACGGTTCCTGATCCGTCGGAATCGATTTCCTCAATCATCATGTCTAGATCGTCATTGGTCAATTTATCATCTAGTTCTCGCAGAATTTCTCGCAGAACATCAGTTGTGATATAGCCATTTCCTTCTTCAAATTCAATTTGACCCGATCCATCTTCATCGACTTCAGCAATAATGTCAGCCAGAGTAGCATCGTCAAGTTGAGGACCCAACATACTAAGAATCGTACCAACCATGGCAGTATTGATGTAGCCATTTTTTTCTGGATCGAAAGCATTAAATGGTGAAGGCTGTGTCTGTCAAGACGTTCCTCGCTTCAACACGAAGCGAGCTCTGTAGAATATGTAGTTTTTGACTGGGCGAATATGGTTTATTATGTACTAACTCTACAAAGAGATCATGGAACCGTGGCCAGTCTAGATACTCGCCATTGAATTCCGGAATGCTAATTGGCGGGAGTGCCAAGTTTAGACGTTGTTTTCTCGAAGCGGGTTCATTTCGTATTCCTCATATAATGTGTGGAAATGGGCTAGCTCTGCTTCTGCCAGAGCTACGGTCCCAGCTGTGCTGTCCAATTCGTCGTGGACTTGCCTCAATAACGCCCAATGGAGCTCCAGATGCCTTTGTAGAGCTGGTGTGACGGTTGGAGCGTTCGAGGCTAATGTTAATGATGATTCCAATTCGTTGCATCTTCTCTGCAACTGTCAATTGCGGAATCTCCTTTGACTTGATCTCCTGTCGTGATCTTGATGTTGGCTGAAGTTCCTCTGGGGGCCTTCGGTAGCCCGCTTCCAGTTGGTATGTTTTCCAGAAAGATTTTCTGATATTTCTCGACCAGCTTCTTAAGTGCCACTAGTCGTGAAGAGTACTCAGTTCCAGTGGGTAATGGCGCTTGCTGGACCTCTTCAACCAGATCACAAAATTGTTGCCAGAGCTCCCTTAGTTGTTCTAATCTACCGGCAAAATAGCATTCTCGGAGGCGTCGGTCGGCAGAATCCTTGCCATAATTCTTAATGAGCTGTTGGATTTTTGCTTGCAGCTCGTTTTAGTCATCTAACAGCCGATTGTGTAAGTCGATTCTGTTTTGGTTTGTATGCTCGATGAATGAAGTTGACATAGTGCAGGTTGTTGTCAGGTAATGCCTCTGTAACACGTAGCTGACTGCGGCTCTTACAAATTTTTAATGAATGGTCCTATTTAAATCATTTTTGGCATGTATTTTAATATTGATAAGATGAACCAAACCTCATTTAAATCATAAAAATATGAAAAAATGTGAAACCATTCAACGCTTTTTAGGCATTGAATCACGAAAAAAAACATCACCGAGCGTTTAATAACCTCTGACCTTGCATACAAAATGGTGATGATTTTAACATAAGCATGTCCAACGATTTATCATTGTTCAAAAAGTGACAAAAATTCATCACCGTTTAACATTTCTTTCAGCGCTAAAAAGATGCTTTGCCGTCTTTGCGTTCGGCTCTGTCGGCGTCGCAGTCGTCTGCATGATGATTTTGTGCCAGTGCTGAATTGCTGCAGGGAAGCTAAAATATACACTTGAATCTTAGGTACAGTAGGCTTACGTCGATATTAAAAATAAATAAATAATAGTAAAGTCACTGCAGGTCTACGAGGCTTACGGCAAGCTGATCACCAGCCAGGCCAATGATGTCCAACCGGCCGGAGCCAATGCCTTTCGCCGAGAAGGCTGACGAGGGCATAGAGATCACTTCACTTCCACCAGGAGAACGCTGGCATCAAGGAGCTCTAGTGAATTACCGGCGAGGAGTGATGACAGCAGCGTTTCCGTGCTTATGTTTATCAAGCACTGGAGGAGGAGAAGTGCTAAATGGCCTGTAAAAGCCCCCAGGAACTGAACATAAATAAATTATAAAGATGTAGACCAAAAATTACCAACATTTTATAACATTAACTACCTACGATTTGAGGTAATGGAATTATAAATTTTAAGCCATTGGGTCTTGTTGACTCTCAATTATGCAGGTTTAATTATGTCCGATATGAATCTTTTTTACCACTGTGTAACAACTATAATAGCTTATATAATATATTTTGACTCAAAATACCCATTAACAGTCTTCCAATTAGTATATTAAGAAAACTTGAACTATTAGATATGTAATTATACTCATTGTATTGATCCTATTTTGTTACCTATTCTATAGTAGCATAGCATACGTATGAAAGCAGATGATTGTTAGCTTCTAAATAAATAAAAATAAAATTTGCAGAAAAATATGGGACTAGCAATCAATATCGGAATGGAAAGAGATGACTGTTTTTGTAGCGACATGACAAACCTTAAAGCAAAGTACCAAAACAAGGAACAAACGCACATTTAAGTTGAAGGACGCCAGTGTCCGAGGAGGATACAATTGCCATTAGACACACAGCCAAGCGTGCAATGCAGCCATGCTGTTGAACCGCAACTGCTTGGATTACTTCGTAACACCTTGCGGAATGGAAAAGGCTTGCGAAAGACCAACAAACTGGATGGCAATATTTGCTAATGGAAAAATCAACATTATAGAACTAAGAAACTTAACAACCCACTGCGCGACTTTTATTAAGGAATATCTTCCAATAGGAGTAGTTTTTTCTCATCCAAAATCGACTAAACATAAAAAGGCAACACACAGCCAACAGTGATCTGAAATAAATTAACAGTTTCGGACGGCAAGGTGGTTAACATATTTTAACTTCGCACTAGTTATCAAATGTATCGTGTTCTGACTGTAACTTTGCGTGCCATATATCAAAACGTAATAGGATATTAATCCTCAACCAGTACCGAATTCTCGACGATCGCGCTTTAGCTTCGCTTGAACCAAAAGAACGGAAGCAAATTAAACAAGGAAGAACGCTATTGTCCAGTACCTTGACTATCAGATACCCGTTACTCAGATAAAGGGACCAAAGGGAAATGGAGATATGCAACCAGCAAAGCGAGATTAAAATGCGGCACCTACCGGCGGTAGACAGATTTAAGCGTTATGGGCGTTAGAGTGGGCGTGGCAAACTTTTTTTTTTCGATCAATCGATAGGTATTGACGAGACCAATACATTTCAGTTAAAATTTTTTATCTAGCATGAAAACTGTGGCCGTCACAGGCTTGGGCGGTTTGTGGGCGTTAGAGTGGGCGTGGCAAACTTTTTTTAGGTCAATCTATAGGTATTGATGGGAACAACACATTTCAGTTAAAATTTTTATTCTAGCATCAAAACTGTAGGAGCCACAGTTTTGGGAGGTTTGTGGGCGTTAGAGTGGGCGTGGCACTTCGCTGAAACAAACTTGCGCTGCGTAAGAAGCTCAGGAATCTGCACGCCAAATCTTAATAGCCTAGCTCTTGTAGTTTCCGAGATCTTAGCGTTCATCCGGACGGAGAGACAGACGGTCAGACGGATATGGCTAGATCGACTCGGCTAGTGATCCTGATCAATAATATATATACTTAATGGGGTCGGAAACGCTTTCTTCTGCCTGTTACATACTTTCCGACGAATCTAGTATACCCTTTTACTCTACGAGTAACGGGTATGAAAATGGGTTAAAAACTTTCACATACGTGATGTAAAATAATTTTTCTAATATTTATAAATTATACTCCGCAACTCTGACAACTGCTTGGCAGCTCGTCTGGTAAGCGCCTCTTTGTGAACTGTTATCAGCAGATTAAAAAATCTTTTAATTTATTAAATTATGATAAAACGGTAATTGCTTTTAGCCACGTTTTTGGTGATCGGCGTACGCAGGCACAGAGAAGTGAATTTGTCCAACCACTTGAATTTTTTTGAGGCCATAAGTTTTTTATTTCATTTTAAAATGACATTTTAATACAAATTTGCAATATTAAATAAATTTAACTAAAATGATTCATTATTATTCAAAATTTAATTTAGATTGAATTATAGTAATTTAATCATCGATTTTAACCCCCAGCAGATTAATTAATAAGATTTACAATTTCACAATTACATAAGCTTTTATATTAAATTATTTTCATTAAGTGAATACCGTTTTTAGTACAAAAGTTTTACGAAGTATTCTTCAAGAATGTGTTCAATCATCGCCACCAGTCATTACTTCCATGAATTCTAAAATATACAACATTTAGTTAAATAATTTTGACCACATTAATGCATATTAATTTGTTTACCATCGAAATCAACGGTTCCTGATCCGTCGGAATCGATTTCCTCAATCATCATGTCTAGATCGTCATTGGTCAATTTATCATCTAGTTCTCGCAGAATTTCTCGCAGAACACCAGTTGTGATATAGCCATTTCCTTCTTTGTCGTAAAGGCGAAAAGCTTCTTTTAATTCGGCCATCATAGCTTCAGCGTCCTCTTCAACAAGAAACCGGGCGGCCAGAGTGGTGAATTCTTCAAATTCAATTTGACCCGATCCATCTTCATCGACTTCAGCAATAATGTCAGCCAGAGTAGCATCGTCAAGTTGATGACCCAACATACTAAGAATCGTACCAACCATGGCAGTATTGATGTAGCCATTTTTTTCTGGATCGAAAGCATTAAATGCATTCCGTAATACTATAAAAAATTGTTAGTAGTTTGATAAGTAATAAAAGTATTTAGAAACTTACAAGCAGTTTGCTCCTTAGTCAATTCATCCTGTAAACATAAAAAATGATATAATACTAATAATAACAAGGGAGAACGCTATAGTCGAGTACCTCGACTATTAGGTACCCGTTACTCAGCTAAAGGGACCAAAGGGAAATTGAGATATGCAAGTAGTAAGCGAGATTGAAATGCGCCATCTACCCTCGATCTTAATATACAGATTTAAGCGTTATGGGCGTTAGAGTGGGCGTGGCGTATTCGCGTGACAAACCTGCGCTGCGTACAAGGCTACGGAATCTAAATCTGAAATCCCAATTCTCTATCTTTTATAGTTTCTGAGATATTCGCGTTCGTATTTACGATTTTTTGAAGTTTGTGGGCGTTAAAGTGGGCGTGCCAAACTTTTTTTGGGTTAATCGATAGGTATTGATGAGGAAAATACATTTCATTTAAAGTTTTTATTCTAGCATCAAAATTGTAGGAGCCCGGGCTTGTGGGCGTTAGAGTAGGCGTGGCACATTGCTAAAACAAACTTGCGCTGCGTAAGAAGCTCAGAAATCTGCTTGCCAAATCTCAATAGCCTAGCTCTTATAGTTTCCGAGAACTCAGCGTTCATCCGAAGAGACGGACATGGCTAGATCGACTCGGCTAGTGATCCTGATCAAGAATATATATACTTTATGGGATCGGAAACGCTTCCTTCTGCCTGTTACATACTTTCCGACGAATCTAGTATACCCTTGTACTCTACGAGTAACGGGTATAACAAGAAAGATAGCTTAATTCGGCAATGTGAAGTTTATATACCCTTCCAGGTTGTTTCTGTGGTAGCAATGTATATACCCTGCAAGCATTTTCTATCACGAAAGGCACTATTAAGTGACTTCAAGAAGATGAAAACGATCGTCCGCGATATCGCATTCGGATCGCGGAAGTGACTCCCGTCGGGAAGAAATGTGCCACTTCGGCGACACTTCTCGAAGTCACTTCTGCGTTACTTCCCGGGTTTGTGGGCGTTAGAGTAGGCGTGGCACATTGTTAAAACAAACTTGCGCTGCGTAAGAAGCTCAGAAATCTGCATGCCAAATCTCAATAGCCTAGCTCTTATAGTTTCCGAGAACTCAGCGTTCATCCGAAGAGACGGACATGGCTAGATCGACTCGGCTAGTGATCCTGATCAAGAATATATATACTTTATGGGGTCGGAAACGCTTCCTTCTGCCTGTTACATACTTTTCGACGAATCTAGTATACCCTTGTACTCTACGAGTAACGGGTATAACAAGAAAGATAGCTTAATTCGGCAATGTGAAGTTTGTATACCCTTCCAGGTTGTTTCTGTGGTAGCAATGTATATACCCTGCAAGCATTTTCTATCACGAAAGGCACTATTAAGTGACTTCAAGAAGATGAAAACGATCGTCCGCGATATCGCATTCGGATCGCGGAAGTGACTCCCGTCGGGAAGAAATGTGCCACTTTGGCGACACTTCTCGAAGTCACTTCTGCGTTACTTCTGGAAGTGTCGCCGAAGTTACTCCGAGAAGTGCCGCCGAAGTGGCACATTTCTTTCCGACGGGAGTCACTTCCGCGATCCGAATGCGATATCGCCGAAGTAACTTCTGGAAGTCTGGAAGTCACTCATAGAAGTGCCGCCGAAGTGGCACATTTCTTCCAGACGGGAGTCACTTCCGTGATCCGATTGCGATATCGCCGAAGTAACTTCTAAAAGTGTCGCCGTAGTCACTTCTGGAAGTCACTTCGAAGTGACTTTACATTTGCTTGTAGAAGATATCCAGAAGAGTCTTTCCCAATTGGAAAAACTTTAATTAAAACATATTTTTTTATACTTTCAATATTTTGCATTTATTTTGTGTATAAGGGCTTTGTCCGCTTGTATACACGGTCACTGGCATGTAAGAATTTTTGCTGATCAATGTTATTTAGGTCCAGCTCCGTCGTCATAAGAAATTTATTAATAACCATTTCTAAAGGAAACAGAAACAAAAATTATTTTTTGTTCGGTCAAGGTAAAAATAAACTAGAAGACATTACCTTTTACAATGAAGTATGTTGAGAATCGTTGGATCCGCAGTTACACGCCAAGTAATGTCCACAGCTAGCTTGTCCGTAAATAGCTTTATATAATCGTACAGCTCACGATAAGCACGTAATTTCGCACCCTTTGTTGAGGGGGATATTTAAATATGTTAAGCAATCATTAACATTAGAAAAAACAAAGCAATATTTTTAAAACGCACAAAATTGATACAAAACCGCACTGTACACAGACAAATCGCGCACCGAAATGACGCTCGGTCGAAAAATAAAAGCGTGGGTCAAAAGGAAGACCAACAAATTTTCAGCAAAAAAGGGGTATCGGAAAATTACCGCGACCTCTTTTATGGCTTGTTTTTTTTCCATTAATTTTGTTTTTGTAAAATGTGTACTCTCGTCTTTCTATCGCGCAGAAGTGTCTCAGAAGTTACTTCTTCGCGATCCCGACCCTTTTTGTTTTTGTAAAATGTGTACTATCGCCTTTCTATCGATCAGAAGTGACTTAGAAGTGACTTCTACGCGTTATATGTATATTTTGTTTTTGTAAAATGTGTTCTATCGCCGTTTTATTGCGCAGAAGTGTCTCAGAAGTTACTTCTTCACGATCGCGACCCTTTTTGTTTTTGTAAAATGTGTACTATCGTCTTTCTATCGTCCAGAAGTGACTTAGAAGTTACTTCTACGCGACACGTGTATATTTTGTTTTGTAAAATGTGTACTATCGTCTTTCTATCGCGCAGAAGTTACTAAGGAGTGACTCCTGGACGACAGGGGATAGAAATATCGCCCATTTGCTTGCAGGGTATTAGTATGGAGCCCAAGGGTGTTGCAAGACCGGATGCAATTCTTCAAATCAGCAGTCTGAAAGAATGTAATCCAAGACCCGAGTCGCCGAAAGGTTGGGAAATGCACCGGGCAGGAGGCGATAAGTCAGCGGTCCCACGCTAGTGCCGTTGACCAAAACGGCCAGGTAATGCAGCGGGCTATGCAGCGGATGGGAAGTACAAGGTCAGCATTCTGCCTATAGCCCTGCCGTCAATTCTGACCGTCGTTGCCGACGTCGGGCCTTCTGCCTGGCTTTCTTATAAAATACTTAGGTTAGCTTTAATTAGTTCTTAACAGACTCGCAAAGAATCCAAACAAATTCCGGGATAAATTCCAATAATAACAATTTATAGTTATGCAAACGGATTTCTAAATAATATATATAATAATTTTAAACAGAAATAAACTTAAGTTATCGAAACGGATTTCTAAAGAATAAAGATTGTAAATTAAACGGAAAATAGCTCACCAGGAGGGTGATATTATTATTATTATTTATAGTTTTTATAGGTGCTAAAAATTATAAATTACTGCGCTATTCACAACGGATGAGCATATTTAAATTGGGACAAAATTGGTTCTTAAATCTAATGACATACATACTATATATAAACGAAATCTACTGTATTCGTCCGAATGTTTCGAGTTTGTCAGTTTGTCCCAAAACTTTACTTTATAGTCCTGAAAATTATAGACGATGTTTAACAGCCCAATAATAGACATTAGGTTCACCACTTTTGGAAAAACTAGCAAGTTTGTCTAGAAAACAGCTATAAGTACCAAGGATTTGTACACCCGTAAGTTATTAATCAAAAATTCCCACATTTACCAGTTCAGAACAGCATTGACTCTATTTGAAGGTCCTGGGAACTTAAGGTAATGTTAAACAGCTTAATAGAAGAAACTTTACTTTTACCACTTTTGGAAAAATTTGGCGAGAAAACAGCTATAAATAGCTAAATTTCTTACACCCGTAACTTGTGAACTACTAAAGCTACAGGCTTGTGCTATATGTTGTTGGAGGGGTATTTTTAAAAGCTTTGTACGCCTTTTTAATATGATTTGTCTATGTACCACGTAAAACACTAAGAAATGGTATTTATTTAATAGTATAATACATTTTAGTCACAAAAGTTGATATCAGAACTTTGGTTTGCTGAAGGTGCGATCGTCACTAGATTTTTACCTCGTTATGAGGTGTTTTTGTTTGATAAAATTAACATGAGAGAACGCTTTAGTCGACCTCGACTATCAGATACCCGTTTCTTACTTAGGGGGAGTTCGAGGGAGATAAAGGTATGCAAGCAGCAAAGCGATTGTTCCAATATTGCACACCCCGCAATAGCGCCACCTACAAAATCTTCAAAAATGAGAGCAATAGACTGGTTTTAGCGTGAAGCATTTGTGGGCGTACGAGTGGGCATGACACGTGATTTACGTGAATTGAATTTGCGCTGTCCCAGAAGCGCAAGAATCTGCATGCCAAATCCCAACTTTCTAGCTTTTGTAGTTTCGGAGATATCAGCGTTTATATAGTCGGTCCTGTCACGGACATGGCTAGATCTCCTCGGCTAGTGATTCTGATCAAGAATAAATTTACTTTAAGGATCCGAAACGCTACCTCCTACCTGTTACATACTTTCCGACGAATCTGGTCTAACCTTTTACTCTACGAGAAACGGGTATGAAAACACCAATGCAATAATTTAAAAAAAAATGTCAATTTTTTTCCGATTATTCCTATTGAACCTATAGTTGTCCGATCAGGCTTGTACAAACCTATAATACAACCTGCAATAAAAATAAGACTTTTGGGAAGATTTCATCCCAATAGCTTCAAATCTGAGAGACTAGTCGCGTAGAAATACAGAGACCGACGGACAGACAAACATGGATTTATAGACTCGTCCTGCGATGCTGATCAAGAATATGTATATACTTTTTGGCGACGGAAACGTGTCCAACACTGCGTTGAAAACTAATAAGTAATAATAAGGAGCCAGAGTTTCCAATAACCAATTTCCCACACCCCTTAATCTATAGGTTTGTTCCCAAGCAATTATTAAAAAAGATTCCCAACAAGCATTTTAAACGGGAGTTGACTACTAGGACCCAGCGAAAGGGAAATTGACGAGAGAGAACTCCGACAGGATCATCAAGAATAA